CCCAAACATTGTACTGTAATAACATATGTTTTCCAAGGCAATCACAATTATTCATTTTATATGAATCCAAGTAGGGCCATGCTTTAGAGAAGGAAAAAGAAAATTGGAGTAAAAATGGAAGAGTGAATGAAAAAGTAGGAAGAAAGGGAAAATTAACTCCCAAGAGAACATGCTCCAAGACTAATGGTTAACAGGTGGAAACTTTCAACTTACGTTGAATTGTTTCCACTTCGGGACTGTTCTCAGATTTGTTTTAAAGGCCTTCTATCCCAGAACTTTAAAACTTGGGGTCCTGATCTAATGCTATCGAAAAATCTTGTCATGTTTCAATTCAGGCATTATATGGAATCATTTTGATTTCCCTGAGTTTTTTTTACTTAATTTGATATCACTATTGCTTTTTCCGAGTCTTTCTTGTTAATTCAGTACCTTTTGTCCAGTGCTGGGGAACTGATACCTAAATTCGATTATTATCTGATAGATGTATGACAACAAGAAGAGACTTTCCTAATGGCACACTTTGGAGAACAGCAGTTGAAACATTCAATAAATTTATGGTTGATGATCTTAGCAAGGTGACCAAAAGCTCAACAACAGATATAGCTAATATAAGATCTGCAAAAGTACGCACTTGGAAAGCAGTTGCTGATATTTATGAAATATTTCTTGCGGCATATTGTGGTCGTGCTCTGCCTTCAAATGCACTTTCTGTGTTGGCCCTGAAAGCTGGTGAGTTTCTTGAAATGAATATCTTGGATATCCTGGGAGACAAGATTCTCAATTCCCAGACTGATGCACCCGCTGATGTAATCATGAGACTTCAATCTTATTACATATGTTCACCTACCACAACTATGTGCTGTCTCTCACAAGTTGCAATATCCTAATGCAATTTGATTTGTTCCGCAGATACTGCAGCGATTAATCTCCACCTTAGATATATGTGCTTCAAGGACTTGCTCCTTGCCTCTTGAGACTGTTGAACTTATCCCTCCACATTGCATTAAATTTTCATTGACCTGCTTGCAGAAGTTGTTTTTGTTGAGCAGGCACATGTGAAACTGCTTTTGATAAATAATGCCGGGCCAATATTAATGGTTACGGATTTGATGATCTCTTATTTTCAGGCAGAGAACAAGCGATCAAAATTCAACCAGTTCCGAAGTTAGCAAAATCTCAATTGGAACATTGTTGATCAGATGTGAATATATACTAGATAAATTTTTGAAGGATGAGAATGAACTAGGTAAAACATTTACTTACGCCATGGTCTGAATTATTTGTCTCCCATTTATGTTGTGTCATACCTTGAAACCTTAAATTTTAGGGGATTGTCCACTGCCTGCAGCAAGA